TAGTGCGACGTTTTCTGTATATATAAATGTATATATATATATACATATTTTTGTATGTATACGGTTTAAGGTTTTGAGTTCAGAGTTTAGGTTTTAGGGTTTTAGGGTTTTAGGGTTTAGGGCTAGTGGGGAATAAGGGAATATATCACATGGGGATTATTCGGGGGGTCATATTCCCTTATTGCTTACTAACCACTAGCAAGTCATGTTGCTGAGATGCATTCTTGAAGGTCTAGGGTTTAGAGGTTTGACGTTCAGGGCTTAGGGGTTCCGGGTTCAGGGTCTAGGGATAAAGGATTACAGGAAGCAATAAAAGTGTAATGCGTACCTATCTGGCTAAGAAGAAGTGGGTAAGAGCAGAGGAGACAATGAACACTATACTATTTGGCGTTAAGGCTTTAAAAAGAAACCACTATACTGCTTATGGTTCAGGCTTTGGGGTTCATGGTTCAGGGCTGAAGGTTGCGGGTGTAGGGCTTAGTTGGGAACGGGAAACTGGATCATAAGGACGATTCTGGATAATATTCTGGGGAATGTGTGGGAATCACCACAGAGATCTGGTCCCCAATTCCCAACTCAACCTGAGTAGCTAAGTTTACCAGCTATGTAGAAGCCTCAAGCTCACAAGCAGTCAAGTTGAAGCTTTCTGGACAAATGGGAAGTCCCAAAACTATGCCCAAAATTGGAGGCTTGCACTTTGGTGGAAACTTCGACTTCCGCCTTTGGACGAGCTAAGAAACTCCACCACCAAGATCTTCGACCCAGATCCCTAAACCCTGAATGATATGTCACTTTCCATTTTCCTTTGCATCCCCTGTGTACCCTCTATATAATCCTTTGGAAGTGGTCGTGGGCAAAGCCCTCTAAACCTTAAATCCCTAAACCCCAAGTCCCTAAACCCTGAAACCCAAAGCCCTAAGCCCTGACCCTAACCTTACACCGTAAGGCTTCGAAACACCAAAGATCTGCAAGTCCTGGAAGAAGGCATCATTCAAGACCTCCTGGCAGGTTCCAGGTTTAGGGTTTAGCGTTTAAGGTTTAACGTTTAGGGTCTAGGGCCCTGCCCCCCAATGATGGACCAAATGCTTAAGGCTTAAGGGTTTGGGGTTTCGCCCCCACCTCCTAAAATGAATTGAATAGGGGTATACAGGGGAATGGAACAGAAGAAAGAAACTAACTTGAGTAGTGTTTTTTGGTGGTTGAACCTAGGAAGATTATGTTCTTTA